CATTGACACTCATACCACATCTTCTTTTTTCTAGATAAGAGTTTTTAATGATCTCTATCATTGTTGAATGTCAGGGGCGGATCCAGGATTATGTCAACAATGACCATGTTCCAAAATAGGAAAGGCCTCTAGTAACCAGTTCTCTTGTCCAATTGGTACAGCATGAAGAATTTTTATTTTAGACTATTTGGATAAGCCATGTAGTTTAAGAGAAAGTTACAGAATATGATTTCCATTAAGGTTCAGTTGGAACATTTATTCAATAACATCTGGTATGCCACCGAATCATCACAAAAATAAAGAATCTTCGTAAATAAAAGTAATTGTCTCCAAATGACCATTCAAAGTTCAGAATTTGGCCTAGTAGTACTACACTTTAAAATTGACCAACCAGAATGAAGAAATGCCTCTTGCAGTCCCGTGTTGGTCACTCTGTACTAAAAAGAGGATATTTTTATTAAGCTTTTTCACACTCCATATCCAGACTAACTGATTTCTACTGAAACATGAACTCTGTGACTCAAATAAGTTTCTTATCTAAATGGAAATCATCTTGTTATATATATATATATCAATAGCATGTGATTTTAGAACAAACTTCTGTTAAACTGAAAGAAATTGAATATTAACAGTGTTTTTTAAATGCCTTCTGTACAATTAGATACTAATTTCCCACATTTTAAATTTATTGTATTTCTGAAGGATAAATGCAACAGATTTCATTTGACAACATTCATATGCAGTTCAACATTATCTTAATGAATATAAAACTTATTTAAAGTAAATAAAGACTCAACTGGTAGGGTTGCGCAGAATGTTTCTTAAACAATTGTGAATGCCCTATACTGAACATATAAATATTTTGAAATATGTAATGTAATAAAATGCTCCGCTGGGGCGCAGCTTGATACGACCGCAGAGGTCGAACCCTGAATAGTTGGGGCAAGTATGGACACAACATTCAAGCTTGATACAGCACTGAATTTGGATTGTAATTAAATATTTGACACAGCATAGGTTTCTGACACAGAATGAAAGTTGTCTAAGAACTAAAAAAATTTTAATTTACCTATTCAAACCATATCATTATTATTTGCTTTTATATATAAATCAGAAATAACCAATTTAAAATGGAAAATTTTAAAGAAAAAAAAGGGAAAAAAAATCCCCCCTCCAAATTTTTTGAACCCCCTTATGATTCATCACCGCCAAACTCAATCCAAGCCTTCCCTTTGTGGTATGGTACCTTGCAGTACAATTTCAGAGAGATCCATACACTCGATTACAAGTTATTGTCTGGAAACTAGAAAAATGCTTGTTTTTTGGCTCGTTTTTGGCCCCAAATTCCTAAACGTTTAAGGCAATTACCCCCAAACTCAAACCCAGCTTTTCCTTTGTGATATGGAACCTTGCAGTACAATTTCATAAAGATCCATACACTTACACACAAGTTATTGTCCTGAAACTAGAAAAATGCTTGTTTTTTTGCCCTTTTATGGCCCCTAATTCCTAAAATTTTGAGGGAATTACCCCCAAAATCAATCCCAGCCTTTCCTTTGTGGTATGGTACCTTGCAGTACAATTTCAGAGAGATCCATACACTTGAACACAAGTTATTGTCTGGAAACTAGAAAAATGCTTATTTTTGGCCCCTTTTTGGCCCCTCATTCCTAAACTTTATGGGCAATTACCCCAAACTCAATTCCAGCTTTCCCTTTGTGATATGGAACCTTGTAGTACAATTTCATAAAGATCCATACACTTACACACAAGTTATTGTCATGAAACAAGAAAAATGCTTGTTTTTTGCCCCTTTTTGGCCCCTAATTCCAAAAGTTTGGAAGCAATTACCCCCAAAATCAATCCCAGCATTCCCTTTGTGATATGGAACCTTGTGATACAATGTCAGAGAGATCCATACACTTAAACACAAGTTATTGTCATGAAACTAGAAAAATGCTTGTTTTTTGCCCCTTTTTGGCCCCTAATTCCTAAAATTTGGAGGCAATTACCCCCAAAATCAATCCCAGCATTCCCTTTGTGATATGGAACCTTGTGGTACAATGTCAGAGAGATCCATACCCTAACACACAAGTTATGTCTGGAAGTTACAAAAATGCTTATTTTTGGCCCCTTTTTCCTTAACTGTTGGTACCATAACCCCCAAAATCAATCCCTACCTTCCTTTTGTGGTATTGAACCTTATGGTAAAATTTTATAAAGATCCATTCACTTAAACTAAAGTTAGAGTGTGAAAACTAATGTGTCTTCGGACGACGACGACGACGACGACGCCAACGTCATACCAATATACGACCACAAAAATTTTTTTGCAGTTGTATAAAAACTGTATTTAACCATATAGATGTAGTCAACATGAAAATCTTATTTCTAAATACTCAATCTTTTAAAACAGCAACTGGACTCAAAGAAATTTGTGAAAAATATAACATTGACATCCTATGTATAAACGCATCATTTGAATCCAAAATAAAATGCTCCGCAGGGCGCAGCTTGATACGACCGCAGAGGTCGAACCCTGAACAGTTGGGGCAAGTATGGACACAACATTCAAGCTTGATACAGCTTTGCATTTGGATTGTGATTAAATATTTGACACAGCATAGGTTTCTGACACAGAATGAATGTGGTCTAAGAACATAAAAATTTAAAATTGGACATTCACCTATTATGGTCCAATATCCAAAATCTAAATACATGGTTAGATTCAGCATATCAAAGAACCCCAAGAATTCAATTTTTGATGAAATCAAACAAAGTTTAATTTTGGACCCTTTTGACCTCAATGTGGACAAAGTTGATAATGGGGCCCAAAAATCAAAAATCTAAATACATGGTTAGATTCAGCATATCAAAGAACCCCATATATTCAATTTTTGTTGAAATCAAACAAAGTTTAATTTTGGACCCTGATTTGGACCAACTTGAAAACTGGGCCCATAATCAAAAATCTAAATACATGTTTAGATTCAGCATATCAAAGAACCCTAAGAATTCAATTTTTGTTAAAATCAAACTAAGTTTAATTTTGGACCCTTTGGACCTTAATGTAGACCAATTTGAAAACAGAACCAAAAATTAAGAATAAAACCCCATTGAAATTGGTCAAGAAATAAGCAATTTATACGAAGTATCTTCTTTTGCACAATACTGTACAATTGACAATTTCTTGCTATTGCGCAATATTGTGCTATTGGATATTTCTTGCTATTGCGCAATACTGTGCAATTGAAGATTTCTTGCTATTGTGCAATACTGTGCAATTGAAAATTTTTTGCTATTGCACAATACTTATTACCCCGGTATATAATAATTTACACATCCTGTTTGGTGTGTATCTCCTACCATATCATTATTATTTGCTTTTAAATATAAATCAGAAATAACCAACTTAAAATGGAAAATTTTAAAAGAAAAAAAAAGGAAAAAAAAAAAAATCCCCCCCCCCAAATTTTTTGAACCCCCTTATGATTCATCACCCCCAAACTCAATCCCAGCCTTCCCTTTGTGGAATGGTACCTTGCAGTACAATTTCAGAGAGATCCATACATTTGAACACAAGTTATTGTCTGGAAACTAGAAAAATGTGTTATTTGGCCCCTTTTTGGCCCCAAATTCCTAAACGTTTAGGGCAATTACCCCCAAACTCAAACCCAGCTTTCCCTTTGTGATATGGTACCTTGTAGTACAATTTCAAAAAGATCCATACACTTACACACAAGTTATTGTCCTGAAACTAGAAAAATGCTTATTTTTGGCCCCTTTTTGGCCCCCAATTCCTAAACGTTTCGGCAATTACCCCCAAACTCAATTCCAGCTTTCCCTTTGTGATATGGAACCTTGTAGTACAATTTCAGAAAGATCCATACACTTACACAAAAGTTATTGTAATGAAACTAGAAAAATGCTTGTTTTTTGCCCCTTTTTTGGCCCCTAATTGCTAAAATTTTGAGGCAATTACCCCCAAAATCACTCCCAGCATTCCTTTTGTGATATGGAACCTTGTGGTACAATGTCAGAGAGATCCATACACTAACACACAAGTTATGTCTGGAAGTTACAAAAATGCTTATTTTCGGCCCCTAATTCCTTTACTGTTGGTACCATAACCCCCAAAATCTATCCCAACCTTCCTTTCGTGGTGTTGAACCTTGTGGTAAAATTTCATAGAGATCCATTCACTTAAACTAAAGTTAGAGTGCGAAAACCAATGTGTCTTCGGACGACGCCGGACGACGACAACGACGACGACGACGACGCCAACGTCATACCAATATACGACCACAAAAATTTTTTTGCGGTCGTATAAAAATTCCTCAAACAATTCCATATAAGCAGCATGTGCACAACTTCAACATATGTGCAATCTTCATGTGAAGTTTCAGGGATCTTGGTTGAACACTGTAGGAGGAGTTGATTACACAGATCTTGTACCCTCTTTCATAAATTTTACTGAGCTGAAAAATGACTAAGTTCCCAAGTCTGGAAAAATGAGAAGAAATCCCTCAAACAATTCCATAATAGCAGGTACACAACTTCATTAAATGTGCAATGTTCCTGTGAAATTTCAAGGATCTGGGTTGAAAATTGTAGGAATAGTTGATTACACACAGCATGAACCCTCTTTCATAAATTTTGTTGAAAAAAGACAAAGTTTCCAAGTCTGGAAAATGTAAAAAAAAATCCTTAAACATTTCCATAATAGCAGGTGCACAGCTTTAACATAAGTGCAATCCTTCTGGGAAGCTTCAGGGATCTGGGTTGCAAACTGTAGGAAAAGTTGATTACACAAAACTTAAACTATCTTTCATCAATTTTGCTGAAAAAAGACTAAGTTCCCATGTCTGGAAAAATGAGAAAAACTTCCTCAACCAATTCCGTATTTATTATTCATTAATAGCAGGTGCACAATTCTACATATGTGCAATCTTTGTTTTGTTAAGATATATTTATTTTTGATTAAAAAAAAATCCAACTCGCAGCATTTTATTCATTTATTCTCTTTATTATTCTACAGTATTGCAAGAAAGTATTCTTGCACATATAACATGACGTTTATAATGTTACAAGATATACACACGTAAAGAAACAAATGAACATTGTTCCTGACTCAAAGTATATAGTACTTCAACACAACTTATATTGAGTACTACAAACTCTTTTTGTAGCTTTTTAAAAGCAAATTAATAAAACCAGGTATTTCAATATCATATAAAATATCTACTTTTTCTATTGAAATTTACAAAATTCTTACAAAATTTCTTTTTTTTATCTCACATTAAGCCTTTCTCAAGCTTATGTATAGAAGATATATATATATATATATATAACACTCAATTTAACATGCTTTAAACCAAGTCAGGAGCCTGTAGTTCAATGGTTGTTGTTGGTTGATGTCTGTCCTATTTGTTTTTTTGTAAATTGTTTTGTTATTAATAAGGCATTAAGTTTTCCCATTGAATTGTGTCAAATTTTTCATGTCACAGCCTTTTATAGCTAACTTTACGGTATGGAGTTTTTCAGTGTGAAGCCCATATTGTGGCCTATAATGTCTTATATCCACCTCATTGGAACTCTGGTGGATAGTTGTCTAATTGGCAATAATTAAACACCTCCTTATTTTTTTTATATTTAACTATACAGCTGAAAATATAACATAGATTTAGACAAATTTTTTTATCAAAATATTCACCATCAAAAGAAATGCAACTGTTATATGGATACAAAATGTTTTGATCCAGCAAAAGAAAAAGACATATATCAAAGTTGAACAAATTCTAAAATTGAAGAGCACTGTTTTCAAGCAACAGGATGAAATAAAACATTATAACAGAGAGTGTACACACATGGCTCCTAATTTGAAGAAAATAAAATAATAAAACCAATTTAAACATGACCAATAGTATTATTATTTTCGTGAAATCATCAGATATACAATGTACTTAGTCTAGACTCAAATGTTTGCAAAAAAAATATTTCTGAACAATGAACACATGTCAATAAATTAATTGCCTACCCCTTAATTGCGCATGAGGTATATTCATGAATCTTTGGTTATAGTGTTTAAGATGATTTTTTATAAGCCTGGCTTATAATATATATAATTTACAAAACAGTAACTTACAGGACACAAAGCAAAGAACATAAATGCCAGTTTTTTTTAGAGCAATAGCATATGCTTGTAATAATTGCCTAGGTAAAATTATACTTCAATGTATAATTTATACTAGAAGGAACATCTGCTTTATACAATTCTAATTACTGTAAATCAGGACATTTTTGATGGTTTTTTTTTTCAGAATTGCTGACTGAATCAAATATATGACATTTCTAACTAATGATTTCAAGGTGTCCTGTAAAATAACAATAAATAACATTAACGGCGCCAATTATTCTGCACCAGATGTAATTTCGACTACAAATGTTTCTTTAGTGATGCTTGAGGACAAAATACATGTATTTGAAAATCCAAAATTTATTCAAAAGATGAAGAGCTTATAAACCAAAGAGGACAAAAACAAAAAATAGCCAAAGCCGTGAAAGGAATCAGAACTTTGCATAAGTGAGATATATCTCTTAATTTAAAATAATTTCCAAAATTAATTAATGATCTGGATCTACATTTGTGCATGTATCATTAATAAGAGAAAAGTTCCAACTTCTCTGAAAACTCAGAAAACCTGTTTGTGTGAACAAAGTAAAGGATTTTCGTCTGTTCATAAAAAATTATTAGTATCTTCATAGATAAAGTCTTCTTTATTTTCAAAAACAACTGTTTGTTGACAAATTTTTCACAAAAGTATAAAAAACTTGATAAATTTGACAATAACCTAGATTTATCAAGTTTTTAAATAGCTAGATTTACATTGTATACACATACACAATTAGCAGAGGAGAATGTCCTTAATTAAATTTTAGGAGCACTTTCGAATATATGAGGATTACTGCTAATAAGAAATCTTCAGATCTCTATAGCAATTACATTGCAATAATCATAAATGAAAAAATTGATAGGTATAATTTACCCTACTATAACAAGTGTTGTTTGTATAACAATATCAACAATGTTTGCTTGCTTGAAATGTTTTCAATTTAAATCTTACTGTTTCTATAAATTAAAGGTTTTCCTGTTCATAATACAAGAATGTAGTCAAGTTAAACAAGATCATTTTTATAGAGAGACATGCAAATAAGCCTAATGACTATTCTTTAGATGAAAAATATACCCTCTCTAACTGTACTGTACAAATTTTACAATATCAGTAACTTTGTTTAAACCTATAGTGTAGTCAAAAACAGATGTATGTCTTGTTGTACAACATAAACAATGTAAGATTGACAAATATCTACAAAAATAAGAAAGAAAACTTATGCAGTTCTTAAAATAATATGCACTCCTGAATCTGTAGAGACTATTTGACTCAATTCTCCCACATCTAAGCTGTATGTAGCATCTTCAAATGGTTTCTGCATCTGTCCCCTACCAAACGGTCCAAGATCTCCACCTCGCTTGGCTGAACTACAATCGCTGAACTGTGAAGCTAGTTCTGCAAATGGTTTTTCACCAGAAACGATTTGTTCCCTATAGCCTAGAAATGAAAATTACAGTGAGTCATTTATGTCTACTTACTGTCATCATTCACTCTATAAGACAAAATTTATATATATCTTAATTTCGGGCAACAATAATGGCTGAGACATACAAAATACTGGGATGTGTTTAAATTGATTTTAGTCTCTGATGCATGATGTTTTTATTGTTAATTGTTTTTGGCTTTTAACTAGCTTTCAGTAACTGTTAGTACTCTCAAATCATACTTTCGTATTAATTTGACCTGTTTACACAATTTTTAATGAATTTCTGTCATTCAATGTTTATACTTATTTTGTGTTATATCTCGTCTCACTATTTTTAATATGTACCACCACTTCTTAGGAAGAAAGATAAGAAGTTAGCAATATCCTTTAACTCTACGTTCCGCTATATAGATGATGTTCTTTCACTTAATAATACAAAATTTGGTGACTTTGTTGAACGAATCTATCCCATCGAACTAGAGATAAAGGATACTACAGATACAGTTAAGTCTGCCTCATATCTTGACTTACATCTAGAAATTGACAATGAGGGTCGGTTGAAAACAAAACTTTACGACAAAAGAGATGATTTCAGCTTCCCAATTGTGAATTTTCCATTTCTATGTAGCAACATTCCAGCAGCGCCTGCATACGGAGTATATATCTCCCAATTGATACGATATTCCCGGGCTTGTGTTTCCTATCATGGTTTCCTTGATAGAGGATTGCTGCTCACAAGGAAGCTATTAAGCCAAGAGTTCCAAATGGTGGGGTTGAAATCATCCCTTAGTAAATTTTACAGACGCCATCACAAGTTGGTTGACCGTTATGGAATAACCGTTTCACAGATGATATCCGATATGTTCCTTATGTCGTAACTACAACACCCTTCCCTTTTCACGAATGTGACTTACCGAATTAGACTATTTACCGGATTTGTAATAACATAAGCAACACAACGGGTGCCACATGTGGAGCAGGATCTGCTTACACTTCCGGAGCACCTGAGATCACCCCCAGTTTTTGGTGGGGTTCGTGTTGCTTAGTCTTCAGTTTTCTATGTTGTGTCATCTGTACTATTATTTGTCTGTTTGTCTTTTTATTTTTTGGCCATGGCGTTGTCAGTTTGTTTTAGATCTATGAGTTTGACTGTCCCTCTGGTATCTTTCGTCCCTCTTTGATAAGTATTTAATATGACAATAAATTTTCCCTTCTGTACTCGTACTCTGAACAACAAATTTATGAATTTTGTAAAAAATGTTTACTTCCATACTAACAACAAAATTATCATATTTAAATTTACCTGTGTATGTTGTTTTATTTAACACCATTTTGTCCTATTGACACTCTTCCTACATCTTTTTTTATTACTACCTGTAACGTCTATGTTATATAGGCATCTTTGCTTTAATATTGTATTTATATTGTGTCATAGATCAAACTTATTCGTTCAGTGTATGTTTACTTGTTTTTGTTTAAATGTCTTTTTGATTGAGTTAAGCCATTTCAATTGATATTTTATAGTGTCTTTTTATGTTGCAATGTAACACTACTGTCTCAGGTTAGGGTGAAGGTTGGCGCCTGTTAAAATGTTTAAACCTGCTGCATTTTTATGCACCTGTCCTAAGTCAGGAGCCTGTTGTTCAGTGGTTGTCGTTTGTTGGTGTGGTTCACAAAATACAAAATAAAACAGTTATACCTACATGTATAAACAGTATGAAAGGTTACAAAGACAATTCATATACCTTATATGTTGACAGATGAACAGATAGGAAGATTAACATATGCAAGAGCTGACAGTGTTCCAGCTAGGATTTCAAAAGGGCAGGGTGCCAATCCTGAATAAAATGCTCCGCAGGGCGCAGCTTGATACGACCGCAGAGGTCGAACCCTGAACAGTTGGGGCAAGTATGGACACAACATTCAAGCTTGATACAGCTCTAAATTTGGATTGTGATTAAATATTTGACACAGCATAGGTTTCTGACACAGAATGAATGTGGTCTAAGAACTTAAAAATTTTAAATTGGACATTCAACTATTATGGTCCAATATCCAAAATCTAAATACATGGTTAGATTCAGCATATCAAAGAACCCCAAGAATTCAATTTTTGATGAAATCAAAAAAAGTTTAATTTTGGACCCTTTTGACCTCAATGTGGACAAAGTTGATAATGGGGCCCAAAAATCAAAAATCTAAATACATGGTTAGATTCAGCATATCAAAGAACCCCATATATTCAATTTTTGTTGAAATCAAACAAAGTTTAATTTTGGACCCCGATTTGGACCAACTTGAAAACTGGGCCCATAATCAAAAATCTAAATACATGTTTAGATTCAGCATATCAAAGAACCCTAAGAATTCAATTTTTGTTAAAATCAAACTAAGTTTAATTTTGGACCCTTTGGACCTTAATGTAGACCAATTTGAAAACAGAACCAAAAATTAAGAATAAAACCCCATTGAAATTGGTCAAGAAATAAGCAATTTATACGAAGTATCTTCTTTTGCACAATACTGTACAATTGACAATTTCTTGCTATTGCGCAATATTGTGCTATTGGATATTTCTTGCTATTGCGCAATACTGTGCAATTGAAGATTTCATGCTATTGTGCAATACTGTGCAATTGAAAATTTCTTGCTATTGAACAATACTTATTTTATAATAATTTACACATCCTGTTTGGTGTGTATCTCCTACCATATCATTATTATTTGCTTTTAAATATAAAACAGAAATAACCAACTTAAAATGGAAAATTTTAAAAGAAAAAAAAAAGGAAAAAAAGAAAAAAAAGGAAAAAAAAAAAAATCCCCCCCCCCCATTATTTGAACCCCCTTATGATTTATCACCCCCAAACTCAATCCCAGCCTTCCCTTTGTGGTATGGTACCTTGCAGTACAATTTCAGAGAGATCCATACACTTGAACACAAGTTATTGTCTGGAAACTAGAAAAATGCTTATTTTTGGCCCCTTATTCCTAAACGTTTTGGGCAATTACCCCCAAACTCAATTCCAGCTTTCCCTTTGTGATATGGAACCTTGTAGTACAATTTCAGAAAGATCCATACACTTACACACAAGTTATTATCTTGAAACTAGAAAAATGCTTGTTTTTTGCCCCTTTTTGGGCCACTAATTCCTAATATTTTGAGGCAATTACCCCCAAAATCAATCCCAGCATTTCCTGTGTGATATGGAACCTTGTGGTACAATTTCAGAGAGATCCATACACCTGAACACAAGTTATTGTCTGGAAACTAGAAACATGCTTATTTTTGGCCCCTTTTTGGCCCCTTATTCCTAAATGTTTTGGGCAATTACCCCAAAACTCAATTCCAGCTTTCCCTTTGTGATATGGAACCTTGTAGTACAATTTCAGAAAGATCCATACACTTACACACAAGTTATTGTCATGAAACTAAAAAAATGCTTGTTTTTTGCCCCTTTTTTGGCCCCTAATTCCTAATATTTTGAGGCAATTACCCCCAAAATTAATCCCAGCATTCCCTGTGTGATATGGAACCTTGTGGTACAATGTCAGAGAGATCCATACACTAACACACAAGTTATGTCTGGAAGTTACAAAAATGCTTATTTTTGGCCCCTTTATGGCCCCTAATTCCTTAACTGTTGGTACCATAACCCCCAAAATCAATCCCAACCTTCCTTTTGTGGTATTGAACCTTATGGTAAAATTTCATAGAGATCCATTCACTTAAACTAAAGTTAGAGTGCGAAAACCAATGTGTCTTCGGACGACGCCAACGTCATACCAATATACGACCGCAAAAATTTTTTGCGGTCGTTTAAAAATCTAAATACATGTTTAGATTCAGCATATCAAAGAACCCCATATATTCAATTTTTGTTAAAATCAAACAAAGTTTAATTTTGGACCCTTTGGACCTTAATGTAGACCAATTTGAAAACTGGACCCGAAATTAAAAATCTAAATACACGGTAAGATTCGGCATAACAAATAAATAAATGTGGTCAAAGATTTTACAAATCTAATGCGCCATACTGGTCTTCCTTTATAAATATGCATTTCTTTAAACATAATTTAAAAGCAGTGTAAGGGAAGTAACCAAAACGTTGTATTTGGATTACCTCCCTTACACTGTTTTAAATTATCTTAATTGTTCATTAACCATTACTTTATACATAATTTAAAAGCAGTGTAAGGGAGATAATTTCAATGATGTATTTGATTTATCTCCCTTACACTGCTTTAAATTATGTTTTGTACTAAAGTATTTGTCCATTATTGAGGACAACCTTGTTTTTCCCCCTTTTTTGCCCCTAATTCTTAAACGGTTTGAGCAATAACCCCCCAAAGCAAATCCTAACCATCCCTTTGTGGTATGGAAACTTGTAGTATAATTTCAGAGAGATCCATACACCGTTCCACAGTTATTGTCTGGCCCCTTTTTGGCCCCTAATTCCTTAACTGTTGGTACCATAACCCCCAAAATCAATCCCCACCTTCCTTTTGTGGTATTGAACCTTATGGTAAAATTTCATAGAGATCCATTCACTTAAACTAAAGTTAGAGTGCGAAAACTAATGCGTCTTCGGACGACGACGACGCCAACGTCATACCAATATACGACCACAAAAATTTTTTTGCGGTCGTATAAAAAGGGCATTTAACGCGTGATATGATAATATGAAAAGGGCATGTTTTAATAAAGATTATAATCAAATATTGTTTGTTCATTGAATCACTGGTTATAAATATACAAGAACAACATCATTAGCCCAGAGAAAAACTATCTTTCTACTTTTTAGGCTGAAAATTTAACTTATCAAGCAGCTTGTGACACAAGTTTTAAATCATTGCTTGGCACAGTTAAGCTTTATATGCAGCATTTTTTGAAAAATATCCTGCTTCATTCTGTTTCTATGGTCTGACACACTTTACAAGTTTCACCTTTCTACCTTTTCTGTGCTTAATGGCGATACAGCACAAAACAACTGTAAATGCACTATGTTAGGATATAGTGCAATACAGCACAAAACAACTGTAAATGCACAATGTTAGGATATAGTGAACAGTGAAAATTTGGATTGAAAATAAAAAATACAGAAAAAGATGACCAAGGCACCCTACCAACCCTGCTACTAAGACCCTCTTTAACTTTTCCCATAACTCAAAACACCTAAACATATAAATTCTAAAGCCAGAAGTATGAAGACATATTTTATAATATCTTAGTAGGTTACTCAATGCTAGGAAAAAATAAGATTGAGTTATCTTTCTTTATTTGGGTGTGCTCCTTCTTTGGAGGATAATAAACAGTACGTAGAAGATGTAAATACGATCAATAATATGGCGGCCAATTTTGTTATTTTCGTATTAAAAATGAAGGCAGTCAATGAAAAATACGTCTTAATTTGCTATTTATTTCACGGAAAACAATAAGAGCAATGTTTTTAACGAGTTTATTATGGTTTTTGACTTTCTGTCAATTACGTTTTCTCCATGAAACTACGGTAAACATTGCTAATTGTGCCCAAGTTGTATGAACATTTCTTCAAGTTCAAAGACAAATGCAGACTGACCGATTCTATTTGAATGAATTAATGTTGATGATCATTAAATGACCCATCCGATAAACGGATTACCTATAACAACAGATTATGACACCAGTTGTAACCGTTGATTAGCTTGGGTTGTAAACAAAGTCATATACTTGTCGCCAGGTAAATTTTTGTAATTGGTTTATTATATCAATACGACCAAAATAATATACCAATCGATCTTCAAAAAAGGCAGGGCGCCCTGCAAACTGTAAAAAGGGCACAGGGCAGCACTCGGGAAAGGGCGGGCGGACCGCCCTGTGAAAACGACCTAGCTGGAACACTGGCTGAAAGGGTTAGATTATATTATCTAACTTTCTTTTAGGGGAAATTAAGAGCATTTGTCTAAACACTTTAGTCTAGTGATTATATATAATTAGTCCATGTACTAAATTTACCCTCAAGTATTTTTAAAGCATCTTCTTTTGTTCGGGTGATTGTTTCTTCCCTCCATGATGATGGTCTCCTAGAATCTTTATGTTTGACAAGCAAGTGTGAAGCCTGAACAGTAGCACTTTGCTGTTTGGCTGGGGCTGTAGGCATGTCCCATTGACTTTCTTTTGTGTATATATTCAAATAGTACTCTTTATCTGGAAAAAAAAGAATTGACAATGACCCAAGACTCTGAGTGATGCAATTTAAAATTATCTTATAATGAATATCCTATCGAGGGATCACACTGTTTATTAATATAACGACTTATATACAATAGTGTCCGGTAATTCTGACGTCGGGTAAACCCGCCCACTCCTATTTACTTCCGTTATTGTCACTTCCATGAAATTTTTCGTCTGCCATTTTATTCATAGGAACAGTACTTATCATTACTGCATGTCAAATATTAAAAAAAAATCCTTTATTACGAAAATATCTAGTGATACATGTACCGGTATATATAAAACAGTTCCTAAAGATAACAATAATCATATTATTGCTTACAAAACTCGTTTCTGACTTGAAATTTTTTTTTTTCAATTGTCTGGAATCCCTTTATAAGTAGTCTATTAATAGATCACCTTTTCCTTTCATAATAAACTGTTAACACAGAGATATGTCTCGTCTATTTGTTATTTTGATAATGCAAATGTTGAAATTAAAATAGCAATACTTTAACATGTAAGTTATGCAAATATTCAAAGTCAATGAACCATGACTGAAGGTACAGGGCTAAACAATCTTAATGGAAATGAGATGTTCCAATGCTAATACAACTGCATACCAAAGTCCATTGACTTTTCATGTCGTTCCCTTTAAACAAACCTAAACACAAACATTAACTTGTAAACTATGTAAAAGTTTCAAAGTCAATGAACCATAATTAGGGGGTGGGGTTATATAATCTCCATGGAAATGAGATATGCCAATGCTTATACAACTGCATACCAAATATCATTGACCTACCACTAGTGGTTTCCCATAAACTGACCTAATCACAAACTAATATATGTAAACTAAGCAAAGTTTCAAAGTCAACAGACCATGACTGAGGGGTAAGGACCAAATATTTTCCATGGAAATGAGATGTGCTAATGCTTATACAACTGCCTACCAATTATCATTGACCTATCACTAACGGTTCCCCTTAAATTGACCTAATCACAAACTAATACATGAAAACTAAGCAAAAGTTTCAAAGTCAATGGACCATGACTGAGGGGGGCGGGGCCAAATAATCTCCACGGTAATGAGATATGCCAATGCTAATACAACTGCATACCAAATATCATTGACCTACCACTTGTGGTTCACCATGAACAAGCACTTATCACAAACTAATACATTGTTGATGCTGCCGCTGACGTCGGAAACAACATACCTATGTCTCGCTTTTTGACTCCGTCAAGGCAGACAAAAATGTGATAAACTGGCCCTTCATACATATTTATTGCCCATGGGCAGAATTACCGGACAAACACATTTCCAATAAAAACACAGATGACCCACTTGTTTTGTTGCTTTTAGAATTTATTTCAGACATGCGATTCTTCCGGCGGGATTCATAATCTCCTGATTTTTAGGCCCTCTTCCGTCCCTCCCGTTTATAATTCAAATCTTCCATTTTTTTCAAAAATTTAACCCAAAAAAATTTGTCAGTCTCGATGGAAGTAATTTTACCTGTAAATCAAAGAACTTATAATTATATGGCTTCACTTGACAGCTTGGGTGTCAAACATACTATTAATCAATGATTTTTACCTCAGGTTAACTGCCATTATGTAATAAAAGCTTTGTGTAAAAGAAATTTCGGGTTACTTCCCTTGTTTTATCATGTTTTAAGTTATCCTCCTTTAAAATGTAAATTGAAAAAAGAATATAAATAAAATACATAATGAACAAAGAATCATATAAGGATGATAATTTAATGATTTTAATTGTCTTAGGACAAATAAAGAATATTATTTTGAAAATTATTTGAGAGATCTATACTTCTTTTCAATGCTTAAATTGAAATTTATAAGAAATGTATTGACCTTAAGAATTGAGTGACCGACCATGCAAGGGCTGTATAGCCAGTCAAGGTCATTAAAAACTTCCATTTGCTTGAATTGAGTGAAAGTGTACATAGTAAGTCTGGCTATATGAAAATTAGCTAGAAAAAATGAATAACACTTGAAAACATATAATTAATTATTGAATGATGGAACTGAGAAACACACTAATGATGACAAAGAAGAGGAAGGATAAAAATCACATACAAGTAGTATAACTTAGAGTTGACAAATATTTCACATGGTAACAATACAGAGAGAATACAAGAAAAGTAATACTGTTATCTTAAAAAAAAGGAGAAATATGTAGCTTTTTATCATCAAAATGAACACTGAAAACGGCAATAAATATGTCAATAAAAAATCTCCAGTTATGAGGCCCAAACTCCAGCTGAAAATTTTCAAATCTCCAGTTGACTTACCTCTGCACATGTATAATTTTTGGGGAAATGAGGTAAACTTCTCGAAATTGATTTGTCAGTGAATCGATCTATATTAAATTTAATACAATTTGTATATAATTAAGCAGAAATGCATACGATGTAGGCGGATTTACCGGACTGCATCGTAATACTTAATGAGATGTGTTTTGAGTGTTGAATGAGAGCGAGTGCATGTTTCGTGACTATGTAGTATGTACGTGATTGGGATAATCAGTAATTTTTTAAATTTTAGTTTGTTAAGTGAGAGTCTGTAAAGAATTACTATTTGAGCGACTTATTTTCCGTTCCCATCCTTCTGGTACGTCTGACATAGTGCCGATTGAAAAATAAAAGTGTGGAATTAGCGGCTTGGTCAGGGTTAAAAAGTGCTTACATAGGAGAGGAGAGTATGTTGAACAACACCGGAAGAAACTCTGTGTATATTCCGTATATAAATATAGTAAGACTTATCAAGGATTTGTATAGCATTCTATAAATCGCGTTTTAAAACATGTTAAATAAATGATAATCAGAAAACAGCATCGTTTACAGCGATGTTACTGTATCTAAAAGAATATTTTGAATATTTAATCTGAAGCAAATTTTGTAAACATAAAAGATCCAAATTATTCAAATTTGTGTAGATCTCAAGTGCCACTGTCTTTTTCGTTTGTCTTGCTTTGGTGTTCTCAATGATCGTTCTAAAGGGATGACTGAGTTGAGCGCCTCATATAGAACTGTCACAACAACAAAAAAACATTAACAACGAAAAACTATTTTCCCGTAGGAAGCATAGAAACGGAATACAGTACTTTATGTCTTTATATATCCATCACGAGCGGCTTCTTGACAGCATAATCAAAGGTACGATCCTACCAAAGAATTATTAATTGGTATCAGTGATTTTTTTTCATAAGACACAATGAAACACATGAAACCGGAAAAAATAAAGGATGCTATTAAACAAAAAACATCATTTACAAATAAATAACACAGTCCAATACTTGATTTGTTGTCCCTGTAGATATTTTAAGCCTTGTCTGAGTTAAAATGTCTCAACAAATATGTTTTTGAAAATTCAGGGAGATATCTAGCTAAAACTAACATAATTACTAAGTAGAAGAATATCAAAATTACTCCAGCCTTACACAAAAATGTATTATTTTGAGTAAAACGAATGTCCCAGATGGTATAGATACTTTTTCTGTTGAGTATTCGACTTAAGAAGCTTGCAAAACATGTACTTATGTTACCTTTTCCGATCTATCACCATTCTGCCAGTACATATTTATGTCATTTTAAATAGTTTGTCATAAAAAAAACCAAACACAGTTTTGAGATTAGATGTCACTATTTCTTTGACCAGATACGTTAGGGAGCTACCATTTGATTTTTATGGGGGGGGGGGGGGGGCTAGGATGAAAAATTTTGTCCTGCCTATTTATTTTTCCCTCTATTCGGTCCTGCCTTTTTATTTTTCACTCTATTCGGTCCTGCCTTTTTTTTTTTAGTTTATCCTGACTTTTTTTTTACATAAATTGTCATCCTGCCTTTTTTTTTTGCAAATAATCTCATCCTGCCTTTTTTTTACTCAAAACTCCTGTCCTGCCTATTTTTTTCAAATTTCATCCTAGCCCCCCATAAAAATCAAATGGTAGCTCCCTTACCAACTTTTAATTAGACTCCACATTAATCTAAAGGTCAATTGAAAGATTAATTATGTTGCTTTTGAAGTGTTAGTCCATAGTTGTAACCAAAACAAAGTTATTTTATGTGTATTTATAACGATTTAGAAAATTGATAAGCTACTAAACTAGGAAATGGCTTTTGTACGTTAATTTTAAACAGATACGTTACTCAGTATGGAATCATTTGCATAAAAAATAACCACTTGCACGGGGATCTATTTAACTGCATAAATATGTTTTTACATATTTGATCCTCCTTTTCAACAGTAAAAAATGTTCTGTTATTAGAAAAAATATTTGAAAAAAAAAACCAAGAATATTTTGTTCAACAGATACGGTACCAAAAGATACGTTATAATGTTTCGATTAACGATGAAATACTGGTACCATTTCGGAATTCAGACATATGAGCTATCTGCCTTAATACATTTTTGTTTAGTTTACCGGTAATGATCAATGAATAACATCATCAATATAACAAGTTATGAGTTGCAATTTTCGAAGACATATGAAGGACAACGTCAAATTATGTAATTGTACTGCTTTTAACTGGATATTTTAATATGTTTTTCGCTTATATATTAAATAATAAATTTTAACACGTAGATAAGATTTAGACATTCGAATTTTGTACCTACAGGATAGAAATAATGTTAAAGTATTGTAATTCAGGGTGCAAACATTAAGTAACGTATTTGTTTCCCATGGTAACGTATTTGTTGCATGCTTTAAACAGATACGTTACATCGTATATTTTATAGGTTTCATTCAAGTTTTAAGCGTTACGCTCACTTCTTTGATTTCAAATATTATATTTTTAAAGTTTATTTATTATAATAAATAATAAATCCAGAACCGATTTAACAGAGTTTTTAATATCAAAGTCGTTTTCTCAACAGATACGTGATCTGTTCATTTCCAAGTTGAAAAAAAGATAAGATATATAAACAGTTGAAAAAATATATGAAATTAACAAGAGCAGTTGTTGATAATTGATATTTAAACATATTTGGATTAATATCTTGATACATTTTTTTTTTATCAAGAACAACTAATTGTTATGTTTTTTGTCTTCACTGTATTTGATCAAGATATGGATTCAAGAACAATTCATAAACTTTTCAGAGTCTATCACCAAGATTTATGACTATTAATAGAATCTTAGGTACCTCTAGAATAGTTTTGGAGGAAAAATTGAATCAATGACACTTTATATGAAAGTTCGTTTGCTAAGGAAATAAAACATGGCGGTAACGTATCTGTTGACGTGGAAAACAGTGACCTATAGTCTTGACCATCGGTATTATTTTCACAGTAAGAGCTCAGTAAGGTCAACCACTTTGGAATCTTTTAAATTATATGTATACGAATCATTTGCGCATTATTAAAAGTTGGTTTACACAAATTTATTTGCCAAGTATAATTTTGGCAAATGGTCCCAATTTGCTGAGAATTAGTGAGCCTGAGCTTGGGAAAGAGGCGGTGGACCAGGGGGGGGGGGGGGGGGGGGAGGGGGGGCGGGTACCCGGGAGTAAGGGGGCGGAAAAGCGGGAGTAAATGGGGCGGGAAGCGGGAATTAGGGATTGCGGGAACCGGGAGTAAAGAGGGCGGGATTTTTTTTTTAAATGAGAATGAAACTAAACAGATATAAATGGCCTAGTATATGGACCTAACTGCTTCTAAATCCTTCTAAGGTGGTCAATACCAACCATTTCAAATCTTAAATTGGTCTAAATTGGCTAAAATGATCTAAAATCGTCTGGTGCCGGATTTCGACGGAATCCGTTTCCGTTTTCTATTAAAATAGATACAGAGCACCTGAGATTACCCCCAGTTTTTAGTAGGGTTCGTGTTGCTCAGTCTTTGGTTTTCTATGTTGTGTTTTGTGAACAGTTGTTTGTCTGTCTGTTTGTTTTTTTGTTTTTTTTAGCCATGACGTTGTCAGTTTATTTTTGACTTGTGAGTTAGAATGTCCCTTTGGTATCCTTCGCCTCTTATACAGATATTTCCGTCATTGCTCACACATTTACCGAAAAAATTAGAGGACTGCACGTGATAATTATTACATCTATCTCATTGCAACAGGGAATACTTTTTCAGGAATTCTTCAAGCATGGACATAAATTATCAGATCGTTGTTCTAAGCTGACGGCATATCATTTTATGAGCTTGAAGTTTGTGTGTTTGAAGAAAAGATTCAACGTATGATTATTGTTGACAGTGAAGAACGATGGTGCCACGCTTACCAGCAGCTCGTCAATGTGAAAGCTGATTTGCATGGCATTATTTACAAAGCAAATCATATCACCTAAACAGTCTGCAAGAAATACTTTTGCCGACCTTAGCAACTAGCCCGGCCCAACGTCCACTTTTGATAACTTTTGTCAATATCAGGTTTAACCCAACCACAGATTTGTGTGTGCCTGTCAAAAGTGGAAACCAAAGCCAGGTGTTGCAAAAAAGAAGGTTTTCCAAGATCAAAAGGGTAAAATCCAAAAATAAAAACGTAATGGGTTCCACGGAACCTTGTGACTTGGCTGCGATTGCTGCTGTCAGTGTAATAGTGTAATGTTGACTTAAAAAGTGAGTCCATTTGTCAGTAAAATACAGAATTTAAAAAAAAAATCTAACTTTTTCATTAGATGCTATTTCTTTGTCTTGAAGATTAGCTTCTGTCCAAGTTTCATAACAATCCATGTAGGTTTGACAAAGTTATTGATGTCTAAAAAAACTTAAAAACGAAAGGTAAATCCAACACTATAGAAAAATAACGGATATGGGGAAAAGCAAAAAAATGCACCAGCGCATCACCACTAGTGACTACAGAAACATACATTCAGAGGTCACCACGAGGTTTTCAACATGTGAAACTAGCACCCAGCAGGGAACTCCGAAAAGCCCCAAGAAAAAGGGTAATCAATCCATAGTTACAGAACGGTGGCAATTCGTCATATAGTGAATTTTTTAATGACACATGATAAATGACCAACGGTTCTTCTTGACTGTGAACAGGCGCATAAAAAAACATTGATCACGTCTAAGAAACAAGTAAGTGACAACTGTCATATTGCGGAATGGGTACAAGCAAGTGGAGGTGGTAGGTTAATCCTGGTCGGTTTGATCATTTCCAACACATCTACAGGTACTATTGGTCTGTGCTCGCCGTATATTCCTCTGTATTTGCTCGCTTATTTTTGGCTTTCTGTGCGCGCTCTTTTTCTTGTTATTTTGTGTTGTTTGTGGTTTTTGTATCTGTTGCCCTTGATTTTAATTCGTTTTACACGTTATTTCCCTTTTTCTGACATAAAGACTACATTTTTACCAAATTAGGGAGGGAAGTTGGAATAAAAGCCGGGAGGGAACTGGGAGTAAGGGGAGGGAAGTGGGAATTTCTAACCCCCCTGTCCACCCCCTCGGGGAATGGACCCCCATTTTTTCTACATTAATTTTTTAGTTTTTTTGTGTTTGAATTTTTGTTAGTAAATATATTTTAATATTTAACCTAGGTTCATATATTAGATTATCCATAATGCCCCTCTTTTCTTATTTTCCACGTATGGATAAGAGCAACAACACATTAGATGAGGGGAAATTTTAAAATATTAATGAATGTTATGTTGATAAAGCGCAAATGCTTTTTTTTTAAACCGCAAATGTCCTAAAATTAATAAGCAAATGTCCATTAAAAAAGCGCAAACCGCGCAGCGTCCTACGCTGAG